ATTTTCTGCTATCGATGGAGAAATTTTTCTTGGCGACAGAAATGAACTTGGTAAGTAGAAAATCAATAAGCTAAGCCATGTTTGAAAAGGATGTCTGCATCTTAACATCAAAAATATTGCCTTGGTGCAAAACATATAAGATACCAGACATTGACTTATTACCTTCAAATTACATCATGATTGTGCATGTTTCGTGTTGTTGGCTAAAATGGTGGTTAAGATTAATCCTTAATTCATCCTGCATTCTTACTTACTTGATATTTGGAGGATAATCATTATTTTGGCAGGTCTTTCTGTATTGAAACTCCCTCTGACCCCATATTTTAACCAATGGAAGGTACAGAAGACAACAGCAGTGGTAAATAATAAATTACCTATACTACAAAAGATTACGATCTAAACAAGTTAAAAATCGAGATAGTAAAATAAGTGACCCTGAGATCAGGTGGTGAGGCAGTTGATCCCCATTATTATTGGGAATGCGTGTAAAGTTTTTGGCGCCTCTGAAAATGAAAGACGACTGATCAGTAGACAGTCTGCACTTAGGTAGACATAAGCTAGGTTTCGAGTGATTCTATTACTAATAGTAAAATTATCGGTAAAATTTTTGGTTGAGTAGCTTGGCGCTAATCTCTTAATGCAGTTATGAATCATTATGACGTCTTTTAAGAAAAGATTGTCTTTGTTAGATGATTTAACTAACACTCCACGTACAGTTAACAACTTCTTTCTTCTGTTCTTCTTGTACAACTTATTGCCTCGGGAATTAGCTCAGATCTGAGTGAGAATGCTGGTCGCCAGCTTATAAAAGTGACACTTGCTAAGCTGTCAATCCTCAGATATCCTCATCTTTTCTTTCTTAGTTAGCGAATCAGGCTAATCTACGAGGAACAGTTCCTGCATATTAAGCATGTACCTTCGAGATGTTGAATCTCGTCAAAATGTCTTCCCTAAATTTCTTATGTTTCCAGCTAAACTCTGGTAAAACGAAAACGAGATTGGCAATATGAAAATTATAATAAACTTATTGAAAGAATTATAATCATACTTGGAAGGATATCTTAAGAGAAAATAGCCATAGAAGACTGTTACATAACAACAGAATTAACAGAAACTTCGGAGAAGAAAGGGCGTACATAAGTACCGCCCCAGAAAAGCTACAACAAGTTATCTAATTTAAAATTCAGCACGGAAGATGTAAGGCATAAGCTGTTTACAGTTACAGCCACCTCTGGCAGAAGGAGGTGTTTAACATCTTTCACATTTAGCCGTCCTTAGTGGTACAGCTGTGAATTTTGAGGAAATGTTTCAACTCTTTACGTAGAACCCGGTGTCTATAATAGTATGTTAATGTGCTCTTCTATGGGGGGAGGGATGTTTATTCCTGTAAAGGAATAAAGCGATCGTTAGGTCAAGGGTACCCCCTGTTCATCATCGGTACAACAGCTACATTGAACAGCCACGAGGGCGCCAGTTTCCGTTGTTGTCGTAGAAATTGTGATGTAGAACGACATGGAACTCTCCCTTTTTACTTGCTGACAAACGACACCACTTTGGCTACGCGACGTTGCCGACCCATTTACCACATTACACAAAGTCGAAATTGACGCATTCCACCAGCACGTCAAGGACGCTTTGGAAAATAACTGTATCTATGTATATGGTCAACCTGTATGTAACGGTTACTTTTGGGGAATGGCTAGGTGACCCTTAAATAAGGGTGCCGCATACTGACAGACATTTAAAAATTATGTAAAGATAATTACTCTTTCGCATTTTGTTAACAATAACAATTAACAGCGACACAAGAAATAAGAGTAAGGGCCCGCCTGTGCCGGACTTTTATGGAGGTCGAGTTTATTTAAGTTTTTGCTGAGTTTCATTATAGTAAAGGCGTACAATGACACTCATACTTACCATTAAAGATTATTCATGACGAAAAAAATATATGTTATGGGTTACTGAGATTTCAGAACGCGAAACTTGATCCCATGTAGGACGCCATTGAGTTTCCTCACAATAAAATACAGTTCTCATGGTTCCTACTTTAGTTATGAGAGGGGAACGTTTGTTTGAAAACGATTATGTCGCGAGCATATTTTGGTCACAAGCAATGACATGTAGCATCTATTCGTTGTATTCAGTGAGATCCCTACCCCAATAGCTACAATTTTAATAATAAGCCGTGACATAAAGTTTGTCATGATTCGCCAATGGTAATCCAGTTCGGTGACCGTTATGTACAGGTAAATAATGATGGTGACATTTTGGATTCGGGAATCTAAAGGGTGACCGCCTCTTCTATGTACAAGTGACCTCTGTACACAGGTCAGCTTCAAAGACTTGCGGTCCAGACCTCAACATATGGATTTGTTTATTTAGTTGAAAATAATAGCTAATATCTCTGATTAAAAAATTATACAATTTTATTGATAATTAAAACAATTCAGTCTAAGACCTCATCGTTTTGCAGCGGTATCTTCAAGGCTTTTGTTCTCAGCTTACCTAAGTTTTAAAAAATTTATATGTCTTACCTAATCAAAACACTTTTCAGTAATGGAATATTATTGATTTAACTATTAAAAAATTTGCATGTTACAGATTTATTAAATGTATTCATACCAGGGCCAATGAAACGCCATTACCTATTAGAAAGGAAACGAGAGCCTCAAGTGAGGCTATGAAACAAAAAAAAAAGTTCTGTTTGTTGTAACATCCTGATGAAGTTTATCAAGTTTAGAGAATTATTATCACCCAAATTTGGGGCCTCAAAAAGGAAAGTGTACGACATTCTTTTAAAATTCAATTATCCAAATATCCAATCTTTTTGTCCAAGCACGAGGAACAAGAGCGAATGGGGAGGAAAATAAAAAGGCGATAGGAAGTTTTCATCCAAGCCTGCACATCACTTTTGCCCAGCCAACACTTCTCTTGATTGGCTTAACTGAGGAAAAGGTTACTACGCAAGCTTCTTGTCAATTAAATCATTCCGTTTTCATAAATTGGTCCAGTGCTTCTCAACTTTTCCAATAAAAAATATTTCAAAACGTTTTATTCTATCTATCGATGTTATCGCAAAGGATGAGGAGTGGTAGTCGAACGAGAATGCGATTAACATGTCAAATCTAAGTTGAAAAACGGTTTCTTCATCTATTTATCGATGTTTTTTGAGCACAGTTCCTTAATGTAGGCCGGATAAAAAAGGTAGAAACTATAATTAAATTTTAAGTGTCCGTTGACACTGATACTTCAAACTTCAAACTAGCAAATTCATTCCTGAATACTACCGAATATCACGACTAAATTTCTAGATAGTCAATAGCTTGACAGCGAACACAGCTTCTACCATGTCGTAAAACGCTTTTAAGTCGGAATAATCACAAAATTCCAAATTGTACACGCGGCGACTGGTTGCAACAGAAGCAATGTGTCCCAAATTTCCACTTTCATAACCTCCAACTCTTCGTTTTCGCCAGGTATACTTCAGGGCACTGGAGACAAACCTTCCTGGCTGCACCATGCGAAGTTCTGAAAAACGTTGAATTTCATGAGTTATAAGCAAGATTCTGTAATGCATGCACATGCTGCAGGAATAAATAATCCTTAAGGATAGGACCTGGAGTCTGGAGTTAGAATTACCTCGATCTCTTCTGTGGACCACCCCCTGCAGTTTTTCAAATTTCCCTAAGACAGCAATGGTATTCTTTTGTGTCACGGGGTGCAGGGCGTCCAAATGAGGGCTAAGTGTGACAGTGAAGGTCGAGTATCTCGCTAAAAGCAAATATAACAACCTGACAGGTATCAGACCTCATCTTTAACTTGAAAGTATTGGGTAAACAAATCGAAGAGGATCAAGTTGAGGGACTTTAACTTCCACATGGGCGTTATTGCTATGGTATTCCCTCTCAAGTAATTCTTCAATCGTTTCCTTGCCAAATCAGTTAACCCAGCATGATCTCCACTGATAAATTCATTGAAACAAAATACGAAATAAATGCGACACTCTTCTTAAGAGACCCGATGTCCAGATCTTAGACATAACTTCGGAGAGGTAAGACCTGTATGAGGGATTCGGTTTCAGCGCTTGATCTTCTTTTGACAAAGAAGCATGTTTCCTATCTCAGGGAATTCGTCCCAAGAAAAAATATTCACGAAGGACAAAAAGATTGATAAAGATGTGTAGACTAAAAAGTTTATTTACCTTTCAGATCAATGATCTTTTTAGTTTTTTTCGTTTTGAATTCCTTCTTCTTCGCCAGGTTTTGATCTCAGCTCAAGTTTGTGGGCATCTTCATGGAAAAATAGCATTCCGTGATGCGGCATTTTGTTGCCTAGTATAACAGAAATTTGTTACCCATAAGATTCAAACAGGATACGTTTGTCTATGTCTAAATCTTGTTTTGAGGCAGATCTCTGACAGTTTATTTCGTGCATTGTAAAGAAAGAAACAATAAGCAAAATATCAAGTTTATGCACTTGTCTTCTAAACCTTTTTTTTTTATACAACACTTTGCGATTTCAAGAAGTTGGACCAAAAGCATAAAGATGACAATGGCCAGCCATGAAAATGAAAATAGAAAATACCGCATGGGCCAATTATAACACTGCGAAAACAATGTAAATGGCCTCAGGAGTGGGAGTTACAAAGCGAGTGACAAACTCATTCTCATTTAAACAATGACTTTTAGAGGAGCCATATAAGCAGTCAAAATCTAGAATACACCTTTAAAGAGGATATTATACCATTAAACAACGAGCGGAGGACAGGCCCTTTTCAAATTACCTTTTTTTTTGAGTGAAGGAACACGCCTACACCGCCAGAAAGTTTCCCCACGGCACGTCTTTGGTTGAACGTTCTGGGAGGTGTGGGGAATTCTGGAAACAACATGCGGTAGGTGAAGCCAGGGCTGTTGCAAGGATACCACCAGTTACTTGTGCTTGAGGTAACTCACTTAAGGAGTAGTGGTCACCAGGGCACACGAGTACTGTGGTACCTTCATCTACCAACTGACTCCATTCTTCCCCGATGCCCCGTGATGTGGGATTACGGGGAAAAATCTGCTGTTCTGACATCTGAGGAATGTGAGAGGACCTCGATAGCGAACCTATTAAACATAAAGCATGAAAAAGTTTACTTAAGTTATTTACCAATACTTAGTATGTTTCCAATAAATTGATAATGTCTCATGGTTTAATATTCTTCTTGTTGACCAAAGGGCATTTGGACAACTTGCCCCTTAAAACACGATTATATGGATATCGGCATTCAGTAAGGGTGCCTCTTACCTCAGCAGGCTGCCATTCTTGATGCGTCCTATTGGCAAAGGTTTGATTCCTCAGAAGAGCTTCTCTTAGGGTCCTTAAATTGTAGGTGGTAAGACCTTTCGTAAGGCTTCTTTTCTGCAACTCATCAATGATCCAGTCTTGAGTATGTGTATCTCTAATTTGTTTATATTCGTCAACATTCATCTTTAGGGAGTCTACTGCAAGCTTTTCCAAGTAGCTTTCGAATTGGAGCTGAATAGAGAGATTGACAGAATCTGTTATTTTTTCTTGGGCACTAAAATATTAGAATAGGAACAGATAAAGCCTCCTAAAAAAGTGGTACACCGATTGGAACGGGTGGTTAACAAGTACGCCTGGATTATTCTCTAAACACCGTGGAGAAAATTTCTCTGTTTTACCTTACTTTTTGGTTTCGTCAAATAATGTTTTATTGTTCTCTACGAATTTGAAATTCACCCGTATAAATCATGATTCCTTGAAAAAGCATTCCTTACGCAGAGTTCACGAACAAAGAAATCGGAAGAGTCACACTAAACATAAAATCACCAGATGAGGCATGGGTAATACAATATGTCCACAAATCCTCAATTAAGGACAAAAATCCTAAAATTTATTCATTTCCTTTATGAAGATGTCTATGAGTGAGGTATTTCTTGTTTCAATGAAAAACAATTTAAAACAATATAAAAGATTTACAGAACTTTGAAATGTTTAACAAACCTGAACATGTCGCGATGGCAACCATCCGTCTTCCTTCGCGGAAAATAACCGAGTGGTTATGGTCCGTGAACGCAGTGACCAAGGAAATGTGTCAATCATTACAAGGAACTCCACCCGATGATTCTGTTCTGTTAACAGGGAAGCCATTTCGTACGCTACAAGTCCTCCATATGAATATCCCCCGAGAAAGTACGGTCCATGGCGCTGTTCGTTGGTGATCAGCTGAACGTAATGAGCGGCAAGCTCACGCACTCCACCCCAGTCCTCACTGATGACCGTAGGATCAGTAAAGCCCAGAGCATAAAAGGATACTAAGTCCTAGTAAAGACGAATAAAAGATGCGAGCCACACGATGAAAGTGTTTGAAACCTCTGACGTGTACTTTTATAAAGGGCAAGAGAAAGCGCAAATCAACGAAGTTTAAAGAATATGAGTTGATCCGGAGGAGAAGAAATCATTATCATCTCCAGAATATGTGACCCCTGTAAACTGCGTCAAATAATTGTTTAGCCCCTTTCGCTACCGGGTCAAGCGAGGAATACTAAAGAGTCAGATACTTAAAACTTCAAGATCTTCTAAGATCTGGGTTGGGAAGCGACCTCGGCCTTATGGTCACCACAGGATTCACATTACCTTGAAACTATAACAACGACAGCAAAATATTTCTTTGGCTGTACAACTAAATGTAAAGTGATTGATAAAAAAAAGATGTTGAAATGATGTTTATGTCATTGGCTGAGGGGCTAAATCAATTCTATAACGGTCAGATACGCACCTGTCCTTGAAATCCGGTAGAAATGGGAACCAAATTCAACGCGTAGCGATGTGAAGGGTGAACACAGAAGAACTTTATTGCTGATCCCTCAGGAGTGTAAAGAGGTAAGACTTGAACCTCCTTCTTGGACGGCATGTCTGAAGTATTTGTTTCCTCCGATGACTGAGTTTGTCCGGGTGCACTTTCTTGGCTCTCGCTATTCTGCGGGCTGCTTGCTTTTCCACGAAGCCTGGCACTGATGTCCCTGGCCATTTTTAGTGTAGTAGTATCAGGCTGCATGAAGTAGTAAACCTAAAGACAAGAGTTTCAAACGTTTAACATGCATCGACGTTTCGATTGAACATAATTCACTACCGTACGTTTAAATTTGATTAAATATTCACTATTTCCAGGTACGAAGAATGATTATAGAAACTTTTAATTCCATTAAACCATCCACACACATGAGGGCATGATCCTTATATGGGTATATAGGGGTGTATTTAGTAGTATCGATGGTTCAAGAGAATCGTCTCTCAATTGAATCGAATGAATTGTTCTTAATTGGAGTATTTCCTAGAACAATGCTGCTATGCAAACTAAAAGAAATTTTGGTTACAAGATACGTATAAGGATATTCCAACGGGACTTTCTTAAATGCACCAGCTGGGAAAATTACAAATTCATTGTTTTTCAGTTATCTAATGACATACACACCTCAAAAAAGAGACCTGCAAGTTTGACTCAAGCAGCATCTTCAGAGTCAAAGCTGCAGTGGAGTCAATACCATAGCTATACAAGCTTTTGTTTAGATCCGTCTCTGAAAGCGATGAACTGCCTGTCAATTCCGCAACCGAGATGCGAACATACTCAACGATAAGTTCGTCTTTCTTATCTGGGTCCTTCTCTAACCGAATTCTTTGCAGTAAAGACTCTGCTGTGTTAGTTTGGCTCTCAGAAACACTGATTTCTGAGGTGAACATTGAGAGTCGGGGCGTATTTTGTAGTCCGGTATTACTGTTAATATACCGAAGCCAGTCCACACCAAATAAAGAGATTTGGAAACGGCTCGGCTCCTCGGTCAAAACCTTGGCCATCAGATTGACTCCTGAAAAGTAATCGAAAATCTTCCATGGAAACTACTGATGAACAATTTTTCTCTTAAGGTACAAAAAGCAGTCACCTTTCATACAGGGGAAATAGGTAAGACTGGGTACTTTGAGAAAAATTCCAGTACGTGGCTTACGTTTTGATAAGTAAAGAATGTCGTCTACTGGCTGAAAACCGTCAGCTGCCGATCTTAAACTAATGTTACCCGGAGTGAACCGCTTCTTCATCTACGCTTGTAAAACGCTCATTTCTCTTCCTCGGCTTACCTTGTAGCATCAAGAGCAGGGACGCAACTATTCTCTTACAAACTATATGAAAAGCCATGTTCATTTTCATCTGCTTTCACTATTTTAAACGATATAATTTTTTTGTCTTTTAAATCCATTAATTATTACCCATGAGAATAATCAAATTCATATACAAAACCACCATTAGCGTGTTACAAAAATCATATTTACCATCTCTGGCGTTTATGAAGCCCAGTCCTCCAACTGCCATCAATTTTGCAATATTACTCTGCCGTTGCATAACACCAGCTCCACTGATTGGTCCCCAATTTATCGAAAGTCCGGGCAAACCGAGTACCTGTCTTCGATACTGGGCAAGAGAATCTTGGAAAGCATTACAGCCTGAGTATGACGAAGATGCCACGATTCCAACAACAGATGCCATAGATGAGAACATAACAAAGAAATCTAGATCCATCTCCAAACTCATTTGGTGTAGTAAACAAGGAACCTAGAAGAAATATCACACTTACAATCTCCATTTCATTTATAAAATCAAGATATGTTATGTAATACGTTATCCAGATAACAATATATACACAATCCAATTTAAAGAAATGAAAATAAGTAATTGATAGTGCTCAAGTGTCTTTGAATGTTCAGGTACACTTAGTTTTCGTAGTTAATTTGGGCTACTTTCACCTATGGTAAACAGATATGATCGTGTGTGTTTAGGTGCACTCGAACTTTCATCGCACTTTTATCATATATTAATACAAGATGAAATGGAAAACAAACACAGACTAGAAGTTGAATGATTATTATTTGATATTTATAAGTGTTGAAAGGTATAACTCATTTTTTTGGGTCAATAAAATATACAAAGGATGTTAAAGGAAATATTAAAGTATGCGATATGAAGTAGTGCCGATAGTCACCTTTGATCTTAGGACCCATAACTTCTGTGAAACTTTCAAATTTCCAATCTTTGATGTATTCGTCTCGGAGAACCATAGCAGAATGTACTATTCCAGCTACACTTGGAAGAGACTGGAGCTGCTTTTGTAAGGAAAACATTTGCTCTTGGCTGGAGATATCAATCTATAAAAACAAAATAGAAAACAGTCTTTAAAATTCTTGGCGTGCGTTGTGCTTCAGGTAAAGTTACTTTCCAAGTATTGTACAAATGCAACTTAGCATTTCTAGTTGCGAAAATGAAGTAGTAACCGTTTGACTATTGACTACCATAAAGGTAACGCACCAAATTACCTGGAACGTATAGAACTTTGCATCTGTCTTCGTCTCTAAATCTCGTACTTTTTGATACTCGGTATCTGAGAGCTTGGAACGACCAATCAGTCCTATAGACTTTGCTCCATTCTCGGCCATCCAACGCGCCACCTCAAATCCGAATCCTCTGGTCCCCCCAGCCACCAAGTACGTTCTGTTTTCTTTGAGACCACACACATCCAGACCTCGTGGAAGCACGGGGATCGTTAGAAGATCATTGCCTCCTTCAGATGGTGCAAAAGAGTGAACCAGAAAAGAAATGCCTCGAAATTCTCTCAGGACCCTTTTTGGAGGTGAGTCTTTCAGAGTGGCTTTGTTTGCAGCTTCAATTGCCGTGGGTATGTCTGTCGATAGTAACTTGAGTTCCAGAAGCTTTTGCAGAACTCCACTACCTTTCAGCAGCTCTAGACTCTCTAAGCTGAGCTTTTGATAAGTCTTCGGTGATCGGATGATATCTGAAATGCTTTCTCTTACATACAGGACGTTTTTCTTTGCAGGGGAACACGACGGCACCATCAAATTCGGCTCCCAAGATAACGACTTTTCCTCCACGTTTAAGACGTCGACTGCTTTTTGGAGAGCGTTCGGAGAGGGTGGGTAGAAAAACAAAACTGCATCAAAAGCGTCGATGGAATCATTTTCAAAACTTGTGAGACTCTGATGTGCTACACTCTTTGCTCCCAGCTCTAGAAGGGTGGATTCTGTCACCGATTGGCAAGTATCTGAGATAGTGCAAAATACTTCATGACCCAGTGCTTTTGCAAGGGCAACTGCCACAGGCCCAGGGCCACGGTGAGCCTGATGAATCAGTAACTTCTTCTTTTCTTCCATCGTTCCTATCCGTTGTAGGGCGTGAAAGGCTATGGCAAGGCAGGCAGGGATGTATGTTGCTTGTTCTTGCGTCAAAATAGCTGGCTTTACAAAAATGTTCCTGACTTGCATGGGAACGGAACGAGAAACTCGTCCAGACGCCATAACGCCGCACACAACATCTCCAATTTGTATCTGATTACTTGCAGCTTCCCTTGGTAGATGAATCACCTTTCCCACGGTGAAAACACAAGCATCTGGTTTGGCTACATCAAGTATTGACTCAGAGGGTGTCCAGCAATAAAGCAGTTCTACTGTGACCTCGGAGGGCGATGGCCGCGAAAAACTCCTCTGGCGAAAGCAGACCTTCCGTGAAGCAGGAATGGATGACAAGTATAAAGAACCCCAGTCGCTGACATTACTGTGTATTGTGGGCTGCTCGGTGCAAATATTAGATCTCACAACGCGATTTATGAGCCGCTTTCTATCTCGAAAGGCAATCTCTTCTTCCATACTATCGCCAAGGATTTCAGAAAGAAGCAAATCTATCTCATCACTATCATTTTTGTCGCCAAGATCAATCGTGGTAATCCTAAGATCAGATTCTTCGAGCTTTGCTGTTCTGCGAAGACCCCAGATTGTAGAAGCCCAAGGAATGGAGTCGTTGTGAGATTTCGTTGTGGTACTTAGGAGCTGTGTACTTTCAGACACGAGCAGAAGCCGAGAATCGAGAAAATGGTTTCTTGTAAGCTGTTGAATTAAGAAAACTGAGCTGCTGAAGGCGAGGTTTTGTGCTTTTTCGATAACATCGAAATTGTTTGGTAGGAGAGTGGTTTCTACTGGCCACAAGTTGACGACTTTGAGCATGGATGAAGGGATCGAATGTAGGGCAGTAAGCTCTCTGCTGATTGTTTCTTTTGTTTCTGTATCAAAAATAGAGCATTGGGTGGATCAACTGGGATTACATTGACTCTTGCAGCGTGAAGCTTGCCGATTAGGATGTCTGAGAAAGGGAGCTGTCCCTGAGAAGAAGACAGGTCAAGTTTGGCGCCATTGCTCTTTGTCCTTGTAAATTCTCTTCCATCCACTTCATTTCATAAACAAGGCCATCAGAAGTAAATCGGCGTGGTGTGCTGTTCAATTCTGCGATACGGAACTCTCTCATAGTTAGTAAAACCCTTCCAGATGGACTCATAAGCGTGATGTCGAATTTCCCGAACTCTTTGGCATCCTCAACGACGTGACAATAAAGTTGATTGGTATTTGGAACATGGTACAGCGTGATGCCCTTAAATCCCACCGGTAAAACAGATTTTTCATCAGTAGCTAAGATTCCAAGTGGGATAAAGCAAGACTGCAGACACGCGTCCAAAATGGAGGGGTGGACAACATAATTTTTACTTTCTGATTGAACGATGGCTGATTCGTGGATATCGATCAGACAAAGTCCCTCGTGCTCGCGGTGCCATGTCTGTTTGATGATGGAGTAGGCACCACCATACTGAAAGCCATACTTTTGAGTTAATTCTCTGAATCCTTCAATCGGCACCTCTTTCATATTTCTGATTAGCTCGTTGACGGCTGGGCCAACTTGATTGCAAGCTGTAAAAGGCCAAAACGGGGAAATGTCTCCTTTTAATTTCTATGTGATAGTTATAGTCTCTTGCAATCATGACTATAAATGGGTGGATAAATAAATAGGCTATAAATGGAGAATCGCAAACGCATTTGAATATTATAATACCTTCTTCCTCGCTGTTTGTTTTTGTGTCCAAGAAATCGACCGAGATGTTTCCACTACTCAAAATAATTTCAGACTGGTCGTCCTGCACGCTTGTAATGTGAAACTGAGCCTTGTCTATTTTGTCGGTCTTTAAAAGGCGAAGTCGTAAGGATCTAACCTAAAGAACAAAGGATAAAAAGTTGCGATAACCTCAACCTAGCTGATATGGCTTGTCTCTAATTTATGTGTATACTACGCTTACCTGTGTTTCAGGAAGAGTGAGAAGACTTGAAAGTTTCACATCACCAAGTTCCAGGCCAGAAGTATGTACGAATTCGTCCTTTACCATTGCAAAGGCCATCTCCAGGTAAGCAGCCCCGGGCATCACGGCACCTCCTTCAATAAGGGCGTGGTCCTTTAGAGATGGAAAATTGAAAAGGTCAATCTCAGTCTCCCAGCAGTGCAGGCCTGAGTATAAGTCGGTCATTTTGACTTGTGCCAGATAAGGATGTGTTGGCTTCCATAAGGTTTCCTTAGAGCTAATTGGGTGGACTGTTGATTGCGGTGGTTGTTCCCTGTACCAAAAACTGTTTTCCAGCCATGGAGATGTTGGGGACCGGATAAACCTGGCTGATTGGCTCCCCTGTACCAAGGTCCAGTCTACGGAAATCCCATGGTATACAATCTGCATATTGTGTTCTGAAGAAAGCATTTGTGTTGCTCCTTGATGGGCACTCTCTTACGTGGAAGAGTTGCGACAACAACGGGCCTTTCCTGTTCCGTCAAATTCTCCTGAAGAGCTATCTGTTTTACGTAGTGGGCAAGAATTGGCTGCGTGCTGATCTCAATTATCTGCTTGTAACCATCTCTCAGTAGATGTTTCATTGCCGAGTAGAAGCGAACAGGACAGCGTATATTTCGCCACCAATAATCGCTGTTTAACTGCTGACCCGAGACAACTTCGCCCTCAACGGTAGAGTACATTGGAATCTTCGATAGTTGAGGGTTTAGCTGTACACTTTTCATAGCTGCCTGAAATGGTTTCTTGATGGGTTCCATGTGTGAGCTGTGAAATGCACGATTTGTTCCAAGAACACGCCAGAAAACATCCCTTGCGTTCATCGAAAGATGTTGTCCCAATGCCTCGATGGACTGCGACTCACCAGCTACAGTGACGCTTTTTGCATCATTAACTGCCGCTATGTCGAGGGTGGCGCTTAACCTTAGATTGAAAAGCAGTTCCCTGGCCTTTATCTCAGGCATGCCCAGGGCAGCCATACTTCCATTGCTTGGGCATTTGTCTTGAAGAGTGGAGCGAGTTAGTACCAGCTGAAGAGCTTCCTTGACAGTGATGATTCCAGCAACACAGGCAGCTGCGAACTCTCCTAAACTGTGACCAATAACAGCAGACGGATGGACTTTCCAGGACTTAAGCAGCTGTGCGGTTGCGTACTGTACAGCGAACGTGGCTGGCTGGGCAATGTAGTTTTCCGATATTCGCGAAATGTCTTCTGGTGCCATCAATTCGTCTTCAAGTGACCACGTCTGTCCCATATCTCTCAGTAAGCTGCTAACAGTCAAAATTGCCTCTCTGAAAGCGGTTTCGCATTCCATTAACTGCCTTCCCATGGCATACCATTGTGATCCCTGACCCCCAAACATGAAAACCAGTTTCCTATCGCTTGAGGTCACCTCAGCATAAGAAGCGGTCTTTTCCCAACCGGCGGAGTCATCAGCAAAAGCTTCTAGTGACTTCGATGCTTCGAAAGGAGGCCCAAAGGCAACTGCCAGGCGATGCGGATACTGGCTTCGACGTTCGTTCAACGAGAAGCATAAGTTTTCCACAAAGTGTTCATTCATTTCTTCAGCGTTGTCTTTAATCCACCTGGAGTAAAGGCGTGACAGCTTTTTAAGAGCTTCTAGAGAACGTGCTGTGATAGTAAGAACGTTATTCTTGCGTTTGAAGTTTTCCACTTGGAAGCTTGGTGTTGCTGTAGCTTCGCGAAGAATAACATGCACATTTGACCCACCAAAACCGAACGAATTAACGGCTGCTATTCGCGGTTTTCCCTTTTCTGTTTTCCAAGACTCACGAGTTTGTTGTAGAATAATCCCTTTTTCTTCAAGCTTTAGTTTGGGATTCAACACCTTGACGTTGATGGTGGGTACAAAGGTCTTGTTTTTTTTTTATCATCAGGGCGGCCTTAATAAGTCCAGCAAGACCAGAAGTAGATTCCGTATGATTGAGATTAGATTTGACAGAGCCAATTCTCAATTTTCGTGAAGAATTTGCGGCCAGGTTGGAGTAGGTATCTGCTATGGAGTTGACTTCCACTACATCACCAATCGCGGTACCAGTCCCATGTGCTTCGAAGTAATCCACGTCTCCTGCGGCCACTCCTGACTGCTCTAGCACGCTTCTTGATAACTGAGCTTGCATCTTGGCACTTGGAGCGGTGATCGGGACAGCATTTTGACCGTCGCTGTTCATTCCACATGCAAGGATCTCGCAATATACATCGTCTTTGTCACAAAGAGCATCCTTTGACAGTTTGAGTACAACCGCTGCAAAGCCCTCTCCGCGTCCATAACCGTCCCCAGAAGCATCAAAACTCTTGCAACGGCCATCCGGGGCAAGAAGTCCAGCCATACTGGATATTATCTGCATGGAATGGTTAAGGACGACATTGGGTGCGCAAACGATAGCTATATCGCAATCATCGTTATTATGCAGGCTATCATAAGCTAGTTTAAGAGCAGTCAGCGATGAGGAACATGCTGTATCCACGGCAATACTTGGTCCGGTCAGATTAAGGCAAAATGACACTCTGTTGGCAAGAATAGATGCTGTTATCCCTGTTGAGGTATACTGATCGATGTAGGAGTAATTTGAGCGGTCTGCCAAAAGAGAACCGTATTCGATATTCATCACGCCAACAAAAACACCTGTTCTACACTTTTGTAAGTCTTCAAGCCGCATTCCTGCATCTTCTATTGCCTCGTAGGCTACTTGAAGGAGTATTCTTTGCTGAGGGTCCATTGCACGTGCCTCTTGATTGGAGATACCGAAGAACCTGTTGTCGAAAGTCTTAATTTCTTCCAAGTAGGAACCATTGATGGCACAAAGGCGTCCATTTACGAAACGCTTGGGGTTGTAGAACTCAACAAACGCTTTATGCTGCTGTGTTCTGTTCTCGGGAAACGCACGAATGGAGCTCTTTCCTTGTTCAAGCAAGGCCCAAAAGAGGTTCTTACTGTGAGCACCGGGGAATCTACAACTAATGCCTATAATGGAGATCCCGGAACGTTTAGCTTTGAGCTTTCTTATGTCGCCATTCCGTGCTTCCATTGATATTGAGTCATTTGCTACCACGAAGTGTTCTATTTCCTCTTGGCTAATCTTGGAGCTAAAATTGTGCACTAATTCCTCAAACAATGCAAGGACCGTCGGGAAAACAAGAAGAGCATGGATGGACCCCAAAGCGAACACCGAGGAAAGTAGCAGATGGAAAATATCTGCTAGACTGGGAAAAATGAATCCCAAGCAAACAGAAGCTGATAGGGATATCAAAGCGCCTCCCAGCACGGATACTCCAACGGAGCGAAGAGCATCAATCATGCGACCTTGTATGTCTCGCTTGGCCGAGAGGACGAACGAATGGCACACTTCAATACTAAAATTCAAGGACAGCATGATCGCCACAAAAAGAAATGAAAACCACATGATCCAGGTAGATTCCAAATGTTTTCATAATAGCTGCTGCTTCCAGTATTAGAAGGTTGAACGTTATAGCCAGGAGTGTACTAGCCCCGACATGACACATTGCAAACAAAGAAACAGCAAACACCACCACTGTGCCAGCTGTGAGAACTATGGAGATGGTTTCTTTTTCTAACTCGACGAGGTCATCTATCTTGAAAAATTCTTTGGAGATTGGGACGCCTTTCAAGGAGGACTGTTCATGTAAATCACTTCTCAGTGTCCTAAGGGCTTCTCTATCTTCTCGCAATCGGTTGTTCAGTGTCATCCTCAGATGAACTCGTGACGCCGATATTTTAACAAGAGATGTAGAATCTTCTAAAAGCAGATCTTGTCTAAACAGCAAACTCTGGGAATTTTTCAGGAAAAGTTCCAAGCACCGGTGAAACTCTGAATGTGAACAGCTCATGTTTTGATGTTTGACCCACTGTAGAAAGCCTGCCATCCAACAAAGGGACTTTCCTTTACTGTAAGCGGCCTCTTCCAGTTTTTTACACGCTGACATTACTTGATTTTGTACACTTTTTAGTGAATAGTCGACTTCCTTGGAGAAAACGATGCTCACATCAGTTTCGTTGCTTAGGAACATTTGTCGTGCCTTATTAAACTGCTTGAAGTTTTCACTCCGATAGCGCAACTGTGTGGTACGCGTTCTGTCTCCAGTTTGAAAAGCGGAGAAAACAACTAAAGTGATGAGAAGGGCAAAGATTCCGAGGGAGAAAATTTTGCCGCCGGTGGATGTTATTTTTCGAGCCCATTCTTTCAGAATGCGTTGCAGTCTTGTCTTATGGCACTGTGAGAGTCTAAGCTCAGCGCTTCCAAATTCAGAGATGGACAATCTTCTTTCACATGTAGTCGCACAGGGCGTGTTCACTTTCTTAAGCTTTGTTTCAAAATACATCAACACAATGATTGTGATCACAATAGAAGCAGAAAATGTTACATAAGCAACAAATGTTGCAAAGGAAAAATTGGAAATGGCATTAAAAGAGGATTTGATTCCCACTCCATAAAGAGCTGACCCACAAAGCGCAGTCATCATAGCAAGAACCCCTGTTCTAGCCAGGCAATTTCCACGCGATGTTCAAGTGATGGCACCTTTTTTTGCCTTTCCCATTCCATGAGGTAAAGTACCACGTCTGTAGTTGCTTTCCCCAATAGTAAGAAGGGTATAAAGAGGCACGTTGAGGAAAAGGCAGAGTTTGTTATGGAGACAACACCTGCAGAGCAGGTTAAAGGAAAAGCAAAGAAGAGAACATCAGGAGGACTGTCCTTAAACAACCGGCATTGTTAGAAGTAAAGCGTATGACAGTGAAGACAAGGACAGCAATCGCTACGACTGAAAAACAAAGAGGCCATAGCTCTGGTTTCAGTATATCTTGCAAGGCATCAGTCGCTGTTCTCTCAGTCTGGTAGGAGAGTTTTGCACATTTCATGCGAGGACCCATTGAATCAAGGAGATTGCTAAAGGAGGCTTCAAACTTTTCTATGTCTTGGTAGTCTTCTGTGCTGGTTGTCTTTCTTACGAAGTAAATAGTTCGAAGAGCGTCGGCACGGGCAGTCAATTGATCTTTGTTCCGTTCTATGTGGAAATTGGCCAGCATTTGCTGATAGGAGGAATTAAATGTTTTTCCAGAGGAAAGAACACTAGTAGGCTTTACCAACTCGCGAGCCAGGATCGAGGAAAGATTTTCTAATTTTTGAAAATGCGTTCCAGCTAACTCAAGAGGATTGCTGATCTTGCAGCTTTTCTCTGTGCTTCTTTGTTGGGCAATTGGCGATTGCTGCCTGAAACATATATTGACGTAACCGCTGATATTTACTATGGCTCTGTGAACCATAATGGCGTCTTTTAAACATTCTTCACTTAGAATGCTGTCCCCATTCTTGGGTATCATAATTACTTGTTCTTGTCGTGCCTCAAGAATCGGAAAGAATTGTGCGGAATCATGCGAGTCTTGTCTGGATTTGCTGTTGGCGAAGGTAAAAAGCTCAACGGTGGGCTGCTCAACATTCAGGCGAATGAATCCGAGGCAGCTTCCAATCAAAACAATGAACGAAACCAGAAGAACCGCCAATGGTCTGCGTGCAAGGAAATGCCCTAATCTTTCGAAGGCTCCTTGATAAGCAGTAAGAACAAGAAATGCTTTGATTCTTCGTCCTGTGGTGATAGCCCCGCACCCATGGAGGCGTTTTTACGTTTCTTGTGAACTGCATAGGACCTAGGCGCAAGAACGGGATGTTGTGAAGCGAAAGCGATATCATATTAAAAACTTAGTCGTCAAGTCTTTTTCTAATTATTGACAAAAGGAGGTCTGTATTTTTCTTCAAACCCCTAGATTTGTCGTAGAATGTCAATTCTCTCAAAAGTCCAGCTAGTGCCCAGTGTCAGGGTTGGCGAGCCTAATAGTAGACCACCTAGCTACATTTTTGTACTATGTTCGCATTTTTTAGTTCAATCCAAATTGAAGATATTTGTACTTGAAGAGTTGTTAATCCTTTTAACTGTGAGATTCTACGTTGGGCCAAACGCCAATGGGATGAAAAAGAGTATTAGCTTTTAAAGGGAAATTGTACAAAAAAAATATTACCGATGAGCGAAATGCGTTTATGCAAAACAAACGCACAGAAAAGCGGTTTCCTTTCATTTCGTTTTGTCAGTCAGTTGAAGTCATTATCCGTCATTACGCTGCTCAGTTTTACTAACCTGAACAAATAATTATGGTACAAAACAAGCACTGAGAAAAAAGGCAAAGTAAATTTTCAAGGAGCGTAAATTTATCATATTAACAATCAAAGTTTTCTTTCATCAACACTCAATGCATATCAAAAATTGCACTCTCGTGTTTCTACCTAGACTTATTTAACAATTGGTGGAAAAAAAATTGTGCAGAAAGGACAGCCTGATATTCAGCCATCGTTTCTTCCTTCTCTTGTAAATCCTATGAGATCTAAGCGTAAATAAGAACTTTCTTTACAAAATAGGAATCCGTAACTAGAAATTTAAGGCTTCTGTTAGAAAGCAAGAAAATATTGACCGACCCTTACTTCATTAGGTGGGTCCAGTTAAAGACATATTTCACCATCGACTTTTGTAGGT